TTTTTTTTTTCCATAAAAAGGCTTGTGCTAATACCTAATAATGCTAATACCAATACTATCCCAATGGAAAAGAAGAAAGAATCAGGAGTTGAACAGCCAAACTTGGCATACAGGTACACCTCAGCCACCTGAAGGCTCTTGTTTTATTGTATGTATTATTAATGTATTATTACATTTTATAATGTCTACATGTTGCCCTGCAACCAACCATGAACAGGCTAAAGTGACCCAATTGTAGCTTTTTGAAAGAAATGACTTTTCTGAAAAAAGCAGCAGATCATTTTAATTCTGGATTTTATGTCTACTAAACCTGAATTATATATTATATATATATATATATATATATTATGATGTCATCACATTGCCTAGCAACCACCAAACACAGACTAATCTGACAATACTCCAGAGTGGGCAGGTACAGTAATAGTTTAGAAAAAGAAGCAGGAAGTTTCTCCATTGTTGTCCGTCATTTTAATTGGTGGAGGTTTTATTGAATGGTCATAACTTTGTGACGTATAGGAGGATGTTGGTCACAATTTCATGTGTTTCCTTAAACTTTTTAACCAGGTCACAAACAGCCCAGTGAGGCTTGTTTCCACATGCTAGAGCAAGAGCAATTTTTCAGGAACTAGATTTCAAATAAATTTTCACACATTGCCACCTTTTGAATCAGGTTTTTTTTTTTCAGATTTCAGTGTGCCAACTAAAAATAACAAAAATATATATGCCTACAATTTGATGATATTGAAATTACGGAAAAATGTCAAAGGGGGAAGCTGCAAGCATAAAATTCTGTTCAGTGCGACACAAATATAGTACAGAAAGCAAAGAAGCTCCAAAGTATCTGAAGAGAAGTTTCTTGAACCCTGTAAGTCTGCAGTCTTCTTAGTCCATTTTTGTCCTCCTTCCCCCCCTCTCACCCAGGAGGCCCTGATCATGGCCAGCATGGAGCACCCCCACCTGGTGCGTCTCCTCGGTGTCTGCCTGAGCCCCACCATCCAGCTGGTCACCCAGCTCATGCCCCACGGCTGCCTCCTCGACTATGTGCACGAGCACAAGGACAACATTGGATCGCAGCTGCTGCTCAACTGGTGTGTCCAAATTGCAAAGGTAAATGACTATAATCAGGTCGAAAGAGGACGGCGTCTGTTTGTGCTGTGGTGTTTGTGCATTACTGTACTGCTGGCAGGTGTGAGGACGGTATTGGATTTTATGGATTTGTGTTCTTGTTGGACGAGTCTGCCTTTTTTTTTTTCATCCCCAGCCAAAAATTTGACTGAAGGTGACATGGAGAGGCTTGCCAAGTGCAGTGTCAAACCGAACGAGTGTGATTTTTTTTTCTAAAATATGATCTCATTGCACTTTCCAAATTTGTATTTAAACAGCTTTCAAAACAATTTTTGAGCTGCTATCACAAACACAAATGTCCCTAAGCTGCCGACCTTTCAGTTGGATGCTTTACTTACTCGGGTTTCTGTTGTTATTTTCCAGGCTTTGTGGAACTGTATAAACATCTACATTATGCAAACCCAGAGCAGTCGTAAAAAAATCAAAAATCAAAAAAGCAGCTGCATGCATTTGAAAAACAATATAGAGCGCCGCAGTGTGTTGCTGTTGAAATTCAGGTGTAAATCAGTTTTCACAGCCCTTTAAATGACATGATAGGTTACTGACGGTGAGCAAGACCGAGGCCTAGCTTGCCTTGGAGCTTGTCCTTGAAGCATTCGACATTATTCGTTCAGCGTCATAACAAACATTTAAATTACAGACCCATTCTTTGCTTCCCAAACAAAATCTGCACTCAGAATCGTTGAAACAGCAGTAAGGCTTGAAATACTGTGTGCGTGCTTTTGCTTACCCAAAGAACATTTGTGTTTTGTTTGCAAATTAGGTTGATGCAGCCAGAGTGCTTGATAGTGTAACTGCCTGGTAAGATTTAACTTCTCTGAGTTATAACTCTGGGATGGCAGTGGGGTGCCTGGCTGCAATTACATGCTGTGCAGGCAGACATCTGCTGTGATACAGAGGCATCCCCCATCAGTTTTGGAAGCGGTACATGCAAAAGAGGATCTGACAGAAGTCTGACTTACCGCTGATCACGCTGATCGCAGTTAAGACAAGGGAACAACTTTTGACTTTAATGCTGTTAAAGTTTTGGATTCTGAGCGCTTCTGCCCGTCGAGGTTTAAGTCGAGCAAAGAGACAAAGGAACCAGCTCGACTGTGCCTCCAGGAAATGTTTTTGTAATTTAAAATCGTAGCTATTTCACTAGCTGGTTGGTCTGGATATACATTAGAGGTTTTGGACAAAGTGAACAACTCCCTCGTATCTGCGGTAAACCAGTCGGGATGGTCCGAAAAACACAGCTTCATTTATGCCATTAATCCAACTTCAAAAGGAAGTGAGCAAGCTTTCCGATTCCATTTTGGCAGCGCCCCATTTCCCCAAGGGGTTGCCACAGCGGGTAGCTCTGCATATTTGATTTGGCAGATTTTTACACCTGTTACCCTTTCTGACGCAACCCCAAATATAAAATGTGTCAGAATCTGAAGTGGAAAAAGTCTCATGAAGCAAATAAGGGGGAAAAACGGGGGGATTTTAAAAAATATCTCAATATAGTTGTAAAGTTTACGTACTTCATTATGCTAACAAACTCTTTCGATTAGGATTATCGCTGAAATTTCAAACGAAATATAATACTCGGGAAAATACTCAACAATTCATACCATTTTCTACTCCGCAAGAGGAGAAAAATTCACAGTCTTTGTTTTTTGTAAAGATGAGAATAATACATCAATCACATCACTGTTTTCTTTTTTTCTGATGTAACAATGAACAGATATATGACAACTATGTCTTAAGATGCTCTTGCTGGTAGAATTTCTAAAAAAAAAATTTTGTACTTAATATCTTTTTAATCTCTGGACTTAGGAATGGTGGGAATAATGTATTCTGTTAACACTACTAATGTTACCAATAGGCAGCACTAATAATGTTTGCTGACTAGCTCCAATATTAATATTATCCTTTTATTATAAGCCATGGCCACTAGCTGCTACCATTATAATAACTTAATAGATCAGCCAGTGTTGCTATCTGATAATTGCTAATAGTTTAATGGCTAACATTAGCATGTGCACCAGCTATGTCAGCATTTATGATATAACTGTTTAATATTTTAATATTGAAACAGAAGATTTACAGACATCTAACATACCTCATAAATTGTTTAGTTTTGACATCAGCTACTGTTCACGTGTTCAGCTGCTAGTGAGGGGATGGGCTGTGCACCTGATGGTCTGCAATGGTTCTGTGGGAAGTTGTGTCAGTTGAAGGAGGCAAAGTTGACACTGTTTATATGGATAATGTTGATAATGTTGATCCAATAATAATTCCTAGTATTGATTTTTGGACCCTGGTCTTGAAAAGGAGGAGCAACATTGGAACCCATTGACTGGGGCCATTTATCAGACAAATATGACTTCCTGTCGCATTTAATGGTCATTCATTACAGTCTAGCGATGAATGAGGAGAAATTAAAAACATCAAACAGAGGACATAATTAGCCACAGCCATGGCCTCTACTGTAAAAATAACTTAATAGATCGACTAATGTGGTTAGCTGGTAACTGCTAATTGTTAAACAGCCAATGTTAATGTGTGCACCGGCCAGGTTGACATTTAGGATAACTGTTTAGTACTGTTCAAACTGGAACTTTCCTGACCTTTTGTAATTCATCATAAAGTGTAGTTCAGTCTGTTGATATTAACTACTTTTCATGCGTTCAGCTGCTAGTGAGGAGAGGGGCTGCTACCAATGGTGCTGTTTGAAGTTGTGTTTCAACTGAAGGTGGCACTGTTCGTATCGATACTGTTGCAAATGAGTATCTAATCTGATGATAACTCTTAGTATGAAATAGTATTTGAGTAGTGTTTTATTTTTATTTTTTCTTTAGCAACGCTTTGCTAGATAAAGTACTAGCAATATGGGGACCCACCAGTTAGGGTCATCAGACAGACATGTAACATGCTTGTCTACAGTCTGGGAGTGAATGAGGAGAAACTAAAAACATCAAACAGAGGACATCAGATAAGAACCTGTGGTTGTGAGTTAGCTTTGTAGCCAACGTGTTCACTTTTTTTTTAATATCCAATCAGAGTTTTAACGCAGTCAAAGTTCAGTCAACTGTAGTTAGGTAAATACAATTTGGATTGCAAACTGAACCAGATTCTGGTTCTTTGCCTACCATATAATAAATTACGTTTATTATGCATTGATCTGATTTTCATATGTAGTGAGTGAGAGCCTGAGTGGCTCTTCATCTGTTCCAGCAGGTCTATCATTTTTGCTTATCATTACTTTGATGACTTGCTAATATTTTATTGTATCTGCTGCTAAACTGATAAAGCTGTCAAACATGGACCTTACTGTACACGGGCAGTGCTGTTTTTTGTTTTTAAAAAACTGGTTCTGTTTAAGTTTTCATCAAATAACGTACACGTGCACTTTAAAGCAATGTTTGTGTAGTAAATAAAACCACAGTAAGAAATGCCTACTGCACCAAATACTGTTCTTATACACGCAGGCCCTGTTTTCAGCTATAAACACACTAACACCACACTAATGTTAACATTAACCCCTGCAAACTGGTGTGATAGCATGACAAAACTGTGTGTTCATAACTGTGTGTTCAGAATGTGCATGAAAAGCCATTCACAGAGTATTCTTCAGATAATTGCCTGTTTCTAAAGCACTTTTTATCAGAATTGATTTGTATTGGCAAAGTATTCTCTTGTTTCATCACTCTGAGTCAGCGATGAGAGCTTCGGGTTCACAGGGTTAGTGGGAGGTGGGTTATCGTGAGAGGGCTTAACCCTTTATTCTCCAATGATAGATGATTCCCAAGATACTGAGGAACAGCTTACTTAAGGAGGTACTTATTGCTGTAATTGGATTCAATTTCACCTGTGGTAGCAGGAGGGGAAATGTCAGGTTGTGGTAGTTTTGAAGGCGATGGAGAGCAAGGGGAGACTATTCAAAACCATCCTCTACCCTTCCTGTACTGTGGCATTCAACTGATTGTGACCAGTAGCAATAACAGCTGTTCAGTCTTGATGTAGGGTTGGGATGAAGCTGCTCGTCTGATTGAAAATCGTATTTGGATAATTTGTTTTTATTGAGTGAATTAGTGAATTGGCATAGTGGAGGAATAGAGACAAACTGTTCCTGTTAGCCCTAAACAGGCTTGTATTTCCCTTTATTGTTTCCATTATTATCAATAATTAGCAGCTATCAGCGCGCTGGCTGGATTGTCACCACCTGGGGCTTAATGACAGGCCATGGTTTGCAATGTTAAAATGACTCATCACTGAGAACTACATTTGCAGTGGCAGCATCTCAGTGTGTTGTTTGAAAGGCTTATTTTGTTTCCAAGGTAGAGTATCAACAAAACAAAAAAATCTAACAAAGAGTAAAGAGTCCTGACTCAGGGGTGACTCTCAGACGAGTTATAATCGTCGAAGGCACTGGAACTTTTAATTTTTGTCAGAGGATTTAGGGGACCTGTAGTCTTTATTTCCAGCTTCTTTTTCATTTAGCTTTGTGTGATTCCGAGTTTAAAATAATCTTTTTTAAGATAAGCATTTAGAAGAAAGACTTTATTAGTTGCAGCTTGCTACTTCCAGGGTTGACTCCCTTTTCCTTCCCTTCAGTTTCCTGTTCTTATTTGGCAGGAGTGGCTCTCTGTGTGGTCTTCTGTTTTAAGGTTCGCTGTGTTGTGCGTTCAGAGATGCTCTTATGCAGACTTCGGTTGAAACAGTGTTGCCAATATCAGCTTGAAGCACACTTAATCAAAAATGAACACATCTTTCTACCAAGCTGCTTAATGAATTAAGCTTCCAATTTGACTTTTCAACAGCCTGATTTAAAAAATGAAAAAGCTTGGTGCAGTCTAGAAATAAAAATCAAATAGCTTGTCAACCCGAGTTGCTGAGAGGCCAGTATTTATAATCCAAGCTGCTAGTTGCACGGTTAATGGGCTGGTCCTTAGATATAGTCCTTTTCTTCTGTTCCTGGACACTCAAAGCAGTTAAAACATGCCACAGTCACC